CTAAACTTTTTTGTTTCCTGCGATGTCATCGCCGATGGTCGGCGACGATTACGGACAATCGGCGATATAATTTTTGATGTGTTCTCATAAATCACAAGCGGTCGCCGACGTCGCAAAGCTCCCATCGCCGACGGTTTGCGATGAGTGAGAACTAGGCTTAAAGAGACAAATCAGGACTATATGCATGCGTTTAAAGAGACAAATCAGGACTATATGCATGCGTTTAAAGAGACAAATCAGGACTATATGCATGCGTTTAAAGAGACAAATCAGGACTATATGCATGCGTTTAAAGAGACAAATCAGGACTATATGCATGCGTTTAAAGAGACAAATGACGACTATATGCATGCGTTTAAAGAGACAAATCAGGACTATATGCATGCGTTTAAAGAGACAAATCAGGACTATATGCATGCGTTTAAAGAGACAAATCAGGACTATATGCATGCGTTTAAAGAGACAAATCAGGACTATATGCATGCGTTTAAAGAGACAAATCAGGACTATATGCATGCGTTTACCTCGACACAATACTGGAACCGTTGTGCACTTCACTGGCATAACTTAACGTTGCAAGTGGACGAAATCCACTGAACCTCGTGAATTTGGATAGACTCTCCGTGAAATAGTCTAAAGCATCTGTCGTATCTGAATTGCCTAGTAAGAGACAAAAGCTGAATATGTAAGAAAATTCAAGGAGAAATTATATACATTCATAGACATATAAACGAGAAGCAGCCGTGACAAATGCAACTACAGTATAGCCTGCCTTCTGGCTAGAATGGAACTTGTGGCCTTGGATTCCGGTGCAGTGGTCCAACCGACTGAGCTACAGAGTCCAGTTTGAGCAGCTCTAACCGCGAGGTCATGTGTATATACTAGGTTGATGCCAGTGTAAGTTATATTGGTTAAAAATTTGGATTTTGGGCCTCTCACTTGATGGTCATTACTCATGGTAAGAAGGCTTATAGTTGCGTTTTTCGCAGCAGCCAGGGGCGGGTCTAGTCTCATCTGCAAGGAGGGAGGCAGGTTTTCCATGGGGTGGTGCATGAGGGAGCCTTACTGCCCACTCTCCACTGCAGTCTGCAACACTACTACCCCAACATTACCATTATTTGAGATGGCAATCTCGTACCCAGAGCAATGCCTGTGCGCGGGCTAGGATGGCATTGGCTCTGGGGAAATTGAATTTTTCCTGTGCTGTGATTGGTTTAACGTTTATTAATCGTGCATGCCGACAAAGAACCGGAACCCCTAAATTTAGGGGTTCCGGTTGTCAATTTCCCCAGAGCCAATGCCATCCTATCCCGCGCACAGGCATTGCTCTTGGTACGAGATTGTTGAGATGGCTGAATCTGCATGTTCGTAGCCTGCGTGCAGTCCCAGACTCCCAAAGGAAGTGGAAGTCTGGGACTGCACGCAGGCTACATGTTCGCCATTTCTGTTACGTTTTACATTATATTTTGTTGATAAAGTAAACACCACTTTTTTACCACGAGTTGTTGTAGCACAGTCCAGTCCAGTGAGTGTTTTCTCGAATCAATTAAATTGTTTCAAGAAATCGACACATGCTAACAGTCGAAGTTCCGCTAGTCGCTATTCGGAAAGCAGAAATTGTATGGGAAAGCAGAAATTGTATGGCAAAGCAGAATTTTCTAGAGTAGTGCTGGACTTCCCTAGGGGGGGGGGATGGTAGACAACACTAGGCGGGGTGCGCACCCCCTGCACCCCTACGGTTGATCCGCCCCCTGATCCAACTCTAACTTCATTTTTAATAACCACTATATATTCTTACCGGGTATTTCCCCCTGGCGAATTGCGAAGTAACATTTTTCTAAATCATCAAAATGTTGATGAACTCGCTTCCTTCTGGCAGCCAGTGTTGCACTAGACCAGAGGTGTTTTGCACCCTAAAATTACCAATTAAATGTACATCAATTAATTCTAGCCAATGAAAACGACAAGGCAGTTGGCCTTTTGCATAGCATCACAAATAAGTCCAAAGGACGAGCGACTTGAATATGAAACTTACATGTTGACTTCCATTAAAACCAT